CCCCTAACTGAGGGGTGTTTTCTGATAAAATCTGAAAGTTAAAGGAGGTTTTCTGATAAAATCAGAAAGTTGAAGGGGTTTTGTGCTAATCCTGATACTTAAGGGGGGTTTTCTGTTATTTTCAAAGTTAAGTGTGGTTTTCCGATAATTGTCCAAAGTTACGGAGGTTTTCTAATATTTAGCCCATTTCTGATACCATGTTCATGCATGCTTTGCTTTTATCTTTTCTAGATGTTAACATCTCTAGCATACATTCAAATTCATTATTTCTGATTTTCTTCTCTTTTCTTTGGTTTTTACTCCTAGTAATAATTAATACTATTTCTGAAGCATTTCTGGGGAAGTTTGCTGCCCATTTGTCTCAAATCCGGCTCTTGTGACAGCTTTGGATGATAATGCAAATGAGGAGATGAAGAAGATGTTGAACCAGATCCGTGAACTTGAACTTCAAGTTGTGCAACTCAAGGTTTCAAGCTTACTATATTAAGTCCACGTTATTATCAGATGATTTAATTGCCTAAAGTAGTTTTGTTCTGTGTTCTAGGAAGAACTAAGAGCAGAAAAATTAAAGGCAAAGGAAGAAGCAGAAGATCTAACTCAAGAAATGGCCGAACTGAGATATCAAATGACAGACATGCTCGAGGAAGAATGCAAGCGTCGGGCTTCTGTAGAACAAACTTCTCTAGGACGAATTCAAGATCTAGAAGAACAGGTATAATAATAATGGCTTTTGTGCTATCATTCTGATTCTATTGCTTCATTTATATCTAGTTTTCAATCCAAATGAACTTGACTTGTACCACAATTAGTAAATTTGATCTTGGTTATAGGTCCCAATTCATCCTTTCATAAGTTTCCCCAGTTGGATCAAATTAGTGAAATTTGAATATATAGACTATTGTTGAGATCTTTATGACTTCCGTATCATTGTATCTGACATTCTTAATCTATGATGCTTTGCTTTTACTTTTTCTTTGGGGCATAAGGTGCGGAAAGAGCATAAGCTAGCTGCAATGCGAGCTATGGAAATTAGTCACTTAAAAGATGCCCTGCAGGTACTTTTTTCACATTCTTTTAAATTTATTGAGTAGAATGTTGTCTTAGGTCACAGAATGCGCTAAATGTGCTGTCTTCATTCATATATGAAAATTTAGGCAAGTTAATGTGAATATCCATTCAGTTTGCTTCTATAATCCTGGTTTACAATTTACATATGTACACAGCATTCAGTCCTAGTTTTATTTTCAGTAGTTAGGTGCACTGATAGTGCACTGCCTTCTAACTTCAGGTTGGCTTTATTATCCTCTCACTCACTGTATTTGTTCTCCAAATCTTCTTACATAACCATCTCTCCTTTTCTCCAAACACTCCTTCAGGGTTGTCCATATTTTGCATTCATTTTCAGATCCTTCTGCAAAGCACCATATGTGTCTTCTCTTCTTCACTCGCAGTACAAGAATCATGGGGTTTCTTTCCATGGATACCTGGTTTTCACATGAAACCTCATCTATGAATTGCATTGTTCCCCACTTAAAATATCTACCACTGCTATTTTCTTAAATTCATCCTTTTTCTATAAGCACATTCCTAACTTTTCTAGGCGTTCTTGGCTTATCATGAACAACGGAACAAGTTGACTATGTTATTTAATCTGCGATCCAACCGCCTCTTACCTACTTGCAAGCCACCAATTTGTTATTTTATTTGTAATTTCCCTTATTTCATTCCTTTATACACAGTATGATATCTTACATGAGCCAATAGAAAATATAACGGTTCATCACTTCAACTACTGCCAGACCAAATGCACTGCTGCAGTCAGAGAACGTCTCTGACAGCAATAACCATTGTGTAGCTAATGAGTGTGACTGCATTCTAGTGGCTCTGGGGGCATTTTTCTCTTTTACACCCTAGTGTGAGCAGGGGAAACTTTTTCTAAGAGAATAATTGGTAACCTAAAGCAGCTATTCACTTTCAGTGAGTATGCCTGCTTCTGAAATTCCAGACTTCAATCTATCCACTCATCCACTAATCAGTTGATTTACATTTAGTGATCTAAACTTATTGAACTCAACTCTTACACGAAGGGATGATTGAAGCTGGAAGGTTGTAGTTCTATCACTCCTTTATTAGTATTTTTCCTTATTGTCTAGTAGCTCTGGATGGAAGGAGCCATTTTCTGAGTGATGTACTTTTTTTTCCACGTAAATTTATCTCAAGGATGCAAAGTTGGCATTGTCCATTTATTAATAGACCACGTAAACATCAGATACATCATGCAGATGCATTCTGTTGTGCATTGGTGAGAATATTTCAATGATCCAGATATGTTGGTGTCTCATTTCGACAAAGTTACATAAGCAGAAAAATGCTCCCCAATAATGAGGTTAGGACCAGTTTATTCAAATATTATTGAGGATTTAAAGATTGCGAGCCTTTTCTTCTCATTATTACCTTTTTGAAAAACTGCAATATACACTTGAAAAGAGTACAGAGCTAGTAGCTTAGTGAGCGTGCCCAGGTTCAATTTTTATCTTTATATACACAAGTTATATTGGAGTACTCATAATAGTAAAGATTTCAAAAAGAATATAGTAGGTATCGTTCTCATCTGGATGTAAACATTGTCTATAAATATTTTTGCTTCATCGTACTAAGTACATCCTCAGTTTCTAAATCATGAACATGATCTCAGAGATTCCGGAAGGTCACAAATCCAGAAACAGTTCGGAAAATTGAATCTTGCGATTCGGGGGGTTGCATAATTTCAGATAATTTTGACAAGTGCTCAACTGAAGATACTGCAAATGCTGAAGCTTCAAATGGTTACACAAGCCATCAAGCTTTACTAGAGTGGTACCCAGATGATAGACATTCTTCAACAGAAGCAGAAAAATAATGTATCATATATTTAATGTAGCAATATTCTTTCAGATATAAAGTAAAGGGTCAGAATTCAGTCAGAATACAGTTCGTTTTCCTGTAGATATGTCCCTTGATTTGTAGAAACAGGTTGATGTTTTAGTGAACAAAATATGTCTATCGCCTGGAAATTTTTTTCAAACTTTATTTCTTGTACATACACAAATGAATTGCTTTCTTGGATAACTGTAACTTTTTTGAACTTTGTCAAGTTAGCAACATAAGATATTTTTGAAACAATTTTCCTTGAAATATGGGATAAGCTATAACGGTGTTGTTGGATATAAACTTTTATACACACCAGTATAATGCAGGTGCTTTGCATGTGGATATATTATTTTTGGTTTTGAATTCTTGTTCTTTGAGTGCAAAATTATAAAGTGACTTCTGTAATAATAGAAGCTATTATATTAATAAATAAAGTTGTATATAAGGAATTGTATGAGTAATTTTTATATTTTAGATACTTATTATAATTTAACCATACTTTATTTAGTTATTATTATTTATAACAAATTAAATAATTATTTAATATTATAATATGTAATTATAAAAATTTTAACTATAACGTAGTATAATTATAATAAATTATATGCTATTTTAACTATTCTTATTTCTAACATTTATATATTATAATTATAATACTATTATTCACTATAATGTATTAAATAATAGTGTAATTGTTAGTTACGTTATAATATTAAAATAACTATATTATTTTACTATTAAATATTAATACAATTTTACTGTATAAATTATTCAATATTATACTTTTTTAAGAATGTTTAATAGTGTATTATTTTATTTATAATACTCTTCTATTATATTTTATAAATAGGCATTTGACCATTTAATAATATTAATTTATTAAATTATTTATAATCATTTTATAAAATATTTTATTACACTGATTATTTTATACTATGATTAAAAATTATTTATATACATTATAATATATTTTATAAATTTTCTTATCGTTATAAAGTATTTATGTTAATTACATTTCAGTGAATGCCTAAATATGTGGGAAAGTAAGGAGGTCCTTAATTAATAAGATGTTTTGGATAATTAGTTAAAGTTTAATTATAATGAATAGTACAATTACAAGTTATTAAAATTTGAGAGGGCAAAAAAATAAAAAATAAAAATTTTGACATGAGTATTCTTTTTTATAGGGGCTGCTTGGTTAGCTTTTATTCCCCGTGGAAAACTTTTTTAACCCCTCCACGTTGGTTTTTCCCCTTCCACGTCGGTTATTTCATTTTTGTTGTTTTTCTTTCCTAGCTTTGTTTCGCTAGGGCTGAAGAGAAACGAAAGAGTAAATCGTCACCACCTAGGTTTTTTTTCTCTCACCTAATTCCTTCCTCAACAGAGTGAAATCGGCAGAAAACCTGGCCACGTCGGATTTTGGTCTTCCTCGTTGTTTTCTTCGATGAACTATTGTTACCTCCTTGCTCTCCTGCCATTATTGTAATGGTCAATATTTTTGATTGTTTATGCAAGACTTTATTTAAGAAGCCCTCGTGATAGGGAGTTGAAAGACGAAAACAAACAAAACCTCTTAAGGCCCACATGATATAAGGTTTAAAAAAAATTGCTCAAAGGCCCAACTTAGCAAAAGTCCAACCAACAACTTCCTCTCCTTCCCTTGCTTATCCATTCACAAGGGGATCCTGAGATTTGGGTTTGGTGGGAAAAAAAATTGCTGCTTGATCACCTAGTTGTCCTCAATAGGAGAGACTGTGCATGAAGACGACTTCCGTCAAAAAATATGATTTATAAGCGTGTTTTCATAGCATGACTATGCGCTCGATATCGATATCTCGAGATGAGATTTTTCCTTGGATATTATTATTATTATAGCATCGACTAGAAGATGCACCCATTTGATTGGACATGTTCTAGGTTATGGTTATTTTTCATAATTTTACGGAAGCCGTTCCACGATAACTCTGTGGTTAGTGCATAACATTTCATGCACAGTGTAGGCTGTCTAAAAATCACAATAGATAGCTTATTCAAACAAGCTCCGACAATAGAAGTCACAATCAGACGACTTTCTAAATTACTGCATCCGTAACTCCACAATCGCCACAAACGCGACCTCACTTCTGAGATGATTGATTTTGATGGCTGTGACAACAGCATGGCTAATAATATATTAGCAACTATTAGAGATGCTGATGAGCAGTGGGATTATTTCAGAAATAAAAGGTTGGACTCAGTTGGTGAGTTGCTTGGTAGAGAGCTGTGGGCAAATATTCATCTTTAAGACACTATGGATGTTGATTCCCGTCTAGCTCCTACAACGAAAGCTACAATCAAATAGTTGTCGGGTCGGTGAACGAAAGTTGCGAATGGAGGGCTTTTCACATAGATCGAGAAGAGTTACAATTCAACGACACTTCCGACGACGGATGAAAACTCTATTCAGCAGTCTTCACAATCTACAGTGAAAGTTACAATCTGACGACTTTCACACTCCATAACAGCTAAAGCCAGGATTACTGAACAACAGTCCTTGCAATGCACCACAGAAGAAGTTACAAGTCAAATAGCTCATTCTGAGACGCGGATGTCATCCCCGCGTCACCACTTTAGAAATGAAGGCGACCCCCGCGTCGCCAAGCCACAATCCAAACGCGGGCGACCCTCGCGTTCATAGGGGTTCAATCAACGCTGACCCCCGCGTCGCCAAGCCACAATCCAAACACGGGCGACCCTCGCGTTCATAGGGGTTCAATCAACATTGACCCCCGCGTTTCCAAGCAGGCAACAAGCCAAAACGCGAGCGACCCTCGCGTTCAATGGTGTTCAGCTAACACCCAACCTCGCGTCTCAATCCTAAGAAGCGAAGTTGGGTTCTGAACGCCAGATTGGGCGTTTGACTCACTCAAACATAGTCGAACGGTTCCAAAACCGTTTATTCCCACGTCCTGAGAGATTTTTGCCCACGTAGGAGCAGATATAGGGGTCGGTTACAACCTCTTATCCCCCTATAAAAACTCAACGAACTCAACTGAGTTAAGGGGTTGATTGGATTTTCTCTGGGCTCAGATCAGAGGCTATTGGCTGGCTCGTTGAAAACCACTCTGGCTTGGAGATTCAGCAGCAACGAAATCCTTGGAGATAGGATTTTTGAATTAAACTCAGAAGATCAAATCTGAGAGGATTCTTCGACAACAGAAAAACAGCTTGATCACTAACCGAATTTTCGGTTCCAACAACTCTATTCACAGAGTTCAAACTCGTTCAGAGTTCTTAAACTCATTCAGAGTTATTCATAAAACTTTCCACGAAAGTTCATCGTTCCCACGAGATAAAGACGGTCGGATCATCAACGGGGAGCAAGTTCGACGCAATCAATCGAAGGAAGCACTCCATCGCTGCCAAGAAGAACCCAGTTTTAAACAAAGGGGAAAACCAAATTCGTTTTCCTCTCTTTTGTAATCAAGTTGTAATTGAGATCAAAGGAATCAAAGTCACATTTTCTTTATTCTCTTCATTACAATTTTCTCAACAAACAAAAGATGGCGACTCCGCTGGGGACTAGCTTTTCCGACGAAGAAGTGGTGGCTCAATCCGACGTCCACCTCATGGGAACGACTGTAGAAACTCTCATCGTGGAGTTTGATCAAGCAAAATATGAGGATGGGAACGACTGTAGAAACTCTCATCGTGGAGTTTGATCAAGCAAAATATGAGGAAGCATTATCCTCTGGATCGCTTAGCCCCAAGGCTAAGCACGAGGTCCGCAAGACCTCAAAGAAGGTCGATTCTGTTGTTGAAGTGCCGAAGAAAGCCCTCTCCTTCGGCCAGGAACTCAAACTGGCTCTGCTGGCGGAAGATCCCATCTCCGCGACAGCAAGACGTGCTTCGGGTCACAAACGGCCTCTGGAAGAAACGAGTCCTGTAAACGTCAATGACGTTGCTGCTAAGGCTTTGAAACAAGCCAAAAAGAACGCCGCTCGCCGACGGAGAAGATCCATACGACGAGCACACTTACGGGAAAGGCGATTGTTGGCCCAACGCGAAGATCGCGTTTCTAAAAATCCAACCGAGCCTAGCGTTCCCAAAGAAGAACGCTCACTGCGTGGCAATGAGCTCAATTGCGAACCTAGGCTGATACAGCTCAAACGCGACCCTGAGTGGCGCGTTGTTCATTCAAAACGCAGCCCTCAAAAGGGAGCTGCCAAAACTAAACGCGACCCTCAGGGGCGCGTTCCAATTGAACATGACTCTCAGGAGTCTGTTTCACAAATTAAACGCGACCCTCAGGTGCGCGTTCAAACGAAGCATGACTCTCAGGAGTCTGTTTCACCAACCAAACGCGACCCTCAGGGGCGCGTTCAACCAAAACTTGACCCTCAGAGGTCAGGTTCATCATTTAAACGCAGGCCTCGGCCTAGTGTTTACACATTTCAACGCGACCCTCGCGTTATTTCTCAAGAACGCGATCTTCAAGAGGTCCGTCAGGTTCAAAAAAATCAGCGTGGCTTTAAAATTCACGTTCGACAAGAACCAATATCACCCACCCAAGGGCAGGGGGTTCCATCTCCACTTCCGAGCCCGGGGAAAGTTTCCTCCCAAATTCCTGACTTACGGGAATTATCGTCAAGAGGAAAATCTACAGTACAAGCAGCTCACTTATGCCAATGTGAGAGGCTTATCTCGGCCGTCCTGTCAGAATGCTCTTGTTATGCATCCACACCTCGGCAGTCCGTATTCGACAGGTTGACAAACGTCGTTAGGCCTTCCAAACGACAACGCCGCAACAGAAAGAAGACAACTGAAGCGGAATACCCACAGGTCACTATCAACATGATCGGCCGAGGGAAGGCCTCGCATGCTGATTCTGACGAGTCACAAGGGAGTCATCCGCCAACTGTCCGAGAAATTTGTGACCAGTTCGAAGGAGTATATCGGAATACTCGGACTCGGACAGGAGCCATTCGTCCGGTTGACTATCAAAAGTTAGCCAAGGGTGTCACAACAAGTGATGAACATTCGGCAATAGCCGAATCTCAATCTTCAAGCTCTGTCGGAGCATGGGAGGTCTCCGCTTACACGACGGGAAACCATGAAGATATAGCCAAAAGAGTGGACGAACATCATGTCATGCTCCAGGCGCAACAGGAGACACTTCTCCAATTGAAAGATATGTTGGCTCAGCTTCTTGCTGAAAAAGGCCATAAACCTGAG